AGGGGCGCGCCCCCGTGCGCCCGGGCCATGGCGCGCCTGGGCGCCGTGCGCTCCCACTACTGCGCGCTGCTGCTGGCCGCGGCGCTCGCCGTCTGTGCCTTCTACTACCTCGGCTCGGGCCGCGAGACCTTCTCCAGCGCCACCAAGAGGCTGAAGGAGGCCCGCGCCGGGGCCCCCGCCGCGCCCTCGCCTCCCGCGCTGGAGCTGGCGAGGGGGTCCGTAGCCCCGGCCCCGGGAGCCAAGGCCAAGAGCCTGGAGGGCGGCGCGCCCGGGCCGGTGGACTATCACCTGCTGATGATGTTCACCAAGGCGGAGCACAGCGCCGCGCTGCAGGCCAAGGCCCGCGTCGCGCTGCGCTCGCTGCTGCGCCTCGCCAAGTTCGAGGCGCACGAGGTGCTGAACCTGCACTTCGTGAGCGAGGAGGCCAGCCGCGAGGTGGCCAAAGCACTGCTGCGGGAGCTCCTGCCGCCCGCCGCGGGCTTCAAGTGCAAGGTGAGCGGGGCCGCAGCCGGGGCCCGCGCCGCTGGCCGGGCTGGCGAGGGCAGGGGCCTGCCCTGCGCCGCCCAGTTCCAACTCCTGGAGCCTGACTCCCTCCTCCGGCCGAGTGTGGAGTGTGCACGAGTGTGCTCCGGCCGAGCACAACGTGCTGGAGGCCTGGCCCGGGGGTGTGTCCGCCAGGGGGATGGCTCCCTGGTGCAGAAGCGGGGCTGCTGCTTTCCTGGCCCCTTCGCTCCTTCTCCCCTTCTTCTGTGCTGCCCTCTGGAGAATCAGCACGCCCCCATTTTACACACTTGCAGAGTTCAGCGGAACCTTCAGTCTGCACCTCTTTTTGTGTTTTTTGCTGAGGATCGAACTGGCCACCTGAAGGCACCTGTGACCATTTGAGCAAAGTACAGGATCTTGGCGAGGCCCCTGGGAGCATCCACGTTGCCCTGGCAATGCTCAGTAGTGCTTGAGGTGTTGGAGTCGGATCTGATCAAACCCAATGGGGACCACCTTGTGTCTCTGCCTCTATGGCCCTTTCTCCCATGCCCACAAGGGTCATGAATCCACCTAGGGAAGCCTCAGGTTCTTCCTAGTGAGGAAGAGGAAGCCCTAGGAGGTGCCCATGTGACCTGGGAAGAGCACATTTAGCTGCCTTGTTCCAGGCTGGACCAACCTGCTTGGGCGGCAGCTTCCACCTCTCCTGCAGCTCACCCCACCGCCTGCTTTCCTGACTGGGTTCCTGCACTGGCTTCTTGTGTTGACATGATAATTGTGCAGAAGGGGTCTGATTCTGCTTTTGGATACGAGTAGGTGGCCTTGGTGGATGGAGACAGATGTTGGCAGGCGAAGGGCAGTGAGGGGAGACTAGTGCCCCCTGTATTCGAGCCCAGCTCACCCAGGACTCCGCAGGGTTCAGGGGTCTGCGGCAGCTCGTTGTTGCCTGGTTTTAACTCCCGATTTCTTGGTGGGCTGTGTGCTGAACTTGACCCTCTCCGGCTTCACCTCTACTCTATGCACTTTTTGCTTAAATGTGTTGGCTGCTCCTTTACACAAGCTGTGCCCTTTACCCAGAATGCCCTTCTTCCTTCTTGGGTCCTCAGCCTCTACTCAGCTGTCACTACCCCGAGAATGTCCCTAGACACTGGGGCCAGCCCATGCTCAACACTCCGTAGTTCTCCATTTCTGCTTTTCTCCATAGCAGAAGATCTGTCCCCTGCGCAGGACTGAAGAGTCCATCAAGATACCCACTGTGACCAAGGGGGGACAGCTGGTCCAAGACCGTATCCTATAGGAGGCCAAGAGTCTGGGTCCTGGAGCTGGTGGCTAGAGGAGCCTTCGATTCCTGCTGGGGTTTGGGCCTGGAGCTCATCCCTGTTTACCTAACTGGTCAGCATTGTCATTCCACCTACTGAGTCAGAGGTAGCAGCCTACTTCGCACCATTGCCAGACCTCTGCCTTCTCCTCCTGAGCTCCAGTGAGGCTCTTGCTGCCCATGCAGGCGCCAACTGTGGGGTATTTATTTTTTTATTTTAGTTTTTTTTGGTACCAGGAATCAAACTCAGGACCTTGTGTTTGCCAGGCAGGCGCTTGTGCCACTGAGCTATATCCCGGCCCTGTGGGGTATTTCTCCCTGTTTCAGGCCTTTCCCATCTTCACGCGTCGTCCTGTTCTTAGAGCTGTTCAGGGAGCCCCACGGCGGAAAAATGTGTCTTCTTGGTCTTCTGTCTTGTGACTGTCATGCCACCTGACCCTGTGAGGTGTGATTGAAATATATAGTGAATGCTTAAATTAAAAAAGTCATTGCAGTAAAAGACACATTGCCACGAACCCCCCTCGAAGTGCTGCCTCTCCCTTGGAACAGACTCATCCCGTTTTTGTAGCCACTTTCAAAGCTGTTCTGCACATCCACTTTCATGAATGTTTTTATGAAGTATGATCAAAAACACGGTGCCAAGTGCCATCCAACAGAAAGGCAGGCTGTGAAAACATACAGTGTGTCCTTATCTGCCTTATTCACCGGATCTGGCGCAGTGTGACTTCTGGCCCTTCCCCAAGGTCAAAGTGACCATGAAAGGTCAGAGTTTTGAATTGATTCAGGACAGTGAGGCAGCCACAACAGTGTAAGTAAAGACCCTTGTATTTAATAAATTTTTGAAAATGTAAATATTCACCATATTTTTCAATCACACTTCATATGTATGAAGCTCAGCACACAGTTGGCACCAAAAATACTGGCCCAGGGATAGATAGGTCCAGCCTCAGGACCGGGCTCCTGTCTTGGAGTATGCGTTTCTGGTTCTGGCCCCTTCCCCTTGCAGGGCCCAGTCCTGACAGCTGTGCCCTCACCCAGGGCCTGCAGGCAGCTGCAGAGGATCTCAAGGAAATGCCGCCTCATCTGCATGGCATGGGGGTGAGGTTTGGGGGCTTCTTACCAGCTGGCAGTAGGAAGGGAGGGTTTATCATTCCTGGGGTCATATTGCTGCCATGACTGGGGTTCGTGTTATGACTATCTTGTTTTTGGTGAAAGTTGCCCCCATTTTTTTCTTTAAACAAGTGGTTCTAAGAGGCTTCCTTCACTCATGTGTGATTGAATTCTTCCTAGGATTTGAATGCTTCTCCCACGAACCACTCCACACATGCCTGGCCCTCTGCCTGGGCTCTCCCCTGATCCCAGCCAGCTTTCAGGTCTCAGTTGAAGTATTTTTCCTTGGTAAAATTTCAGGGCCCCCATTATACACTCTTGTAGCTCCAAGTCCTTTTCCTTGGTAACTGCTCGGTAGTATTTATGTAATTATTGAATTAATTATCTGCTTTGCTAGACAATAAATCCTCAAGGGCATCAACCCTGACATCTTTTAAATCCTGTGTCCCCAGCACCTCATACCATACCTTGCGTATGCAAGTGACTTCTATACAGAGAATGATTTCTTCAGTATTGGTGAAGAGGAAGGAAGCTAGACACTGTCACCAGGTTGTATCCGACCTGGAAGTGATCTTCAACAGCGCACGGCTCTGAAAATTGAGAAAGTGAGGAAACCACAGCGCCGCCTGGGAGTTGCTGACTGGTTGAGACTGGGCCAGTGTTTTTCTCTTTTGTGCTACTTTTCCTCTTTAAGGAGCTCTTCTCCCTTGCAAGATAAATGCCAATCATCCTATATCAGTTAGGGTTTACTAGAGAAACCAATATAACACAAGATATGTATATATATCTTATACAAAAGTGTATAAGAAATTACAAGTTTGGCTTGCAATGGTCAGCCACAGCGTTGGATGAGGAAGTGTGCAGAGGGTGTCTGAATGCAGGAGATTGAAGAGCCCAGTTTAAGGTCTGGAGTTTACTGTAGTGTTTGTGCAAGTCCGTATCAGGAGGCTGATGGGTCTGTGATGAAATGTTAAAGAATCTATGACGAAGGCCAAAGAGTCTATACCAGAAGGCTGAAGAGACCCGGGCGGAAACCGAACAGTCTGCACCAGAAGCCAGGAGAGGACCAAGCTGAAGGCGAAGACTGGAGCTCCTCTGAAGAACCAGCAATTAGTCTTTCTTTCTTTCTTTTTTTATTGTATGCAGACTGTCCACCCTGGGGGGCCGTGATCCTCTATATCTACACTATCTCCATGCCGAGCTCTTGCACAGGCCCGGGATGAATACAAAGTAAGGACCTGGCTCTCTGCTGAGTTAGGTAGTTAATGTTTCAGATGAACAGCATGCTAGTGCAGGAAGGGCATGTCTTTTTTATACCAGGAGGTAGAACTGCTGAGTCACTTATTTAAGCTTTTAGACTGTTCAAGTTGACACAATGTATCAACCATAACACATCCCTTCCTCTTAGGCCCCTGGCAGCTGGCTGTAGCCTTTGGTCCCTGAGCTATGGGACAGGCTGCCCCTTTTCAGAGACTGTTGCTGTGATCCCATTCTGGCGAGAGCACTTGGAGGACTGAGGTCAGGAGTTAGCTCTTCGGTCACCCTTCTTTCCTTACTCCACCAGGTTTGACAGAGTATACCGTGGATACCCCCATAGTGCTGGCTTCATCGAGCTTGTGGTGATTTCTCATCTAAAAGAGATCTCGAGGGAGGCATTCCTGGCTGGCACAGGGGCCTCATGAAGTCACCAGGCCCCTGGGCTCCCTCCAGTTTGCTAAGTCATCATCTTTAGGGAGTGGACCTTGTCTCTGGTCCAGGACGGTTGCCAGAGCTGTAGCCGTCACATCTGTGTGGCTGTCTGCCCCCATCCAGCCCGATACTGCATGGGTTTGGTTTTGAGTGAGTTTCCTGACATTGTCATCTCTGCTGACTTCTGAGCCCAGTGGGACCGGGCCAGGAGTCCTAGGACAGTGTTTTGGCACCGACAGGACCTGGTGGTCATCTCATCCCTCTTTTCCCAGGTGGCCAGCTCACTCAGCCACTGTTGCAGCCCTCCAAAAGGCATGGGGTGTTGCTTCCATGTTAATGGCTCATTTTCTGAGCCCTTTTACTAAAGCAGCCCTCATGCCAGCCCCTGTCTCTCCCATCAGCTGGCCCCCTTTGTCTATTGTAGCACATTCTCCTTGGCTCTTTCTTCCATTCTCCCAGCACTTGACGCATACGGTGGAATAGAATGGTCTCTGCCTGCCCCTGCCTGTGGGGAGCTTACACTCTGGACCCATGGGTATGTGTGCCAGGGAGATTGAAGAGATAAGTCAATGGAGAGCAAGTCAGAGCATGCGAGTTCCCTGGGAAGAGTAGAGCAGGACATGGGATAGGGAGTGTCTGGGTGTGGTTAGTGGGGACTTGATGGCTGTTTTGTGCAGGTGACCAGGGCAGCCACTGATGAGGTGATGTTGGAGTGGACACTGAAGGAGGGAGGGACGGAGGGACGGAGCTCCCTGGGTGAGAGAAAAGCACCAGGCAGAGGCCTTAGAAAGCAGCTCCCCTGCATTGGCAGTCTTTCCCTGCTGGGTCTGCTGCAGTCTCCACCCAGGCAGAGACCTTACTACCTCTTCAGCTATCAGGTTTGGGGAACCCCAGA